CAGGACTAAACTCGATCAAATAGATAATAATAGTAGTATGTTTTCTAATATTTATCTTATTTACAAGTACCGCTTAATCGAGGCACACGTTTAATGTTTCAAACACATTAGTGTCTTATATCATTTTTAATAGGTTATCAGTCTGGATCAAGTTAAACGTTAAATATCGCGGCGCAAGACCTTGACCTCGATGTCAGTTTGTCAATCAGGTTGTTATTTTGACGATTTGATCAATTAAATTCGAAGAAAGCCTGTGATCAACTTAGTATGATGAACGTTTGTCGATCGATCAAAATGAGAACCTCATTTTGTTTATGAGTGACGAAGCCCACTTTCACCTAAGCAGCATGGTTAACCAGCAGAATTGTCGTTATTGGGCTAATGAAAAGTTGAGAGAGCGATGTTGGAGAGAGTCTACGCGAACTTCCAAGAACGCCTCCAGCACTGCATCAACGATTTCGGCCACCACATGCCTGATGTGATTTTCCACACTTGACTCTCTCAAATGCTATTTCCTTGTGAACCTGATTCCATCAATAAATTTGTTTTCGAGTAAAAATTAACTATTTTATGATTTTTTTAAAACCGTCCATCTTCTCCGCCGCACCCTGTATTACTTCAACTTGGAATTTACATACCTTGATTAATCCTCCCTTGAACTGGGGTGAAGTTAGGGGGTTGTTTTAAATTTATTTTTTATATACTCCTATATTGCCGTACATCGGAAAAAGGCAGTAAAGTGTAAAAATCGCAGTCTTAGAAAATTGAGGCCAAAATTCTGAATTTTTTCGAACTATCTAAATATTAGTTCGACAGAACAAAACTGAATGAATATTACAAAGTTACATGATATAACGGTCAGTGATTAAATGTTATTTCGGATCATATTTGTTGTTGAGACAGTAACATGTGATTTACTGCTTTTATACTCTGCAAAAACACATTTCCTGCCGTTTTTTCGGAATTTTCATTATCTATTCATATTATTTTCCCAAAGGAAAACGAAGTAATTTAGAATTTATTTATGTTTATTTTAATTATTCATATTGAAATTCACATAAATAGCACAGAAGTAAACTTTTTTAACATATGATTAACATAATATATGATTACATTCAATAATCACGGTCAACAAAAATTATTATATAAATAAACTAAAAAGCAGAATGTTAAGTTGAACGAAGAATATTTTTCAAAATTATCCTCTCGGAGCAAAAGTAATTATTTATAACGATACATACGTACTTATTCGCAAAAAATGAAAAATTGAATAAGTAAATGTCACAATAGGTTATAAAAGGTTAAAAATGCAGTACTTGTACATATCGAGAATAAAAGCAGTACTTATAGTTTGAAGACACTGCTTTTTTGCTTTGACAAATTGATGTACTGCTTTATGCTTATGCAGCTAATATATAAAATATACTAAGTGACAGGGTGTCAAGATAGGGTAAAAGATGGGGTTCTAGAACTTCGTGGATATAACGCTGCGCATTCATGTTACCTCTGATGAAGATTAAAGGTGACCTGGAACCATAAGCTATAGCACCCCAAACCATAACTCCAACAGTGTGATGAACATGTCTTTCAACAAAAAACTGTGGATTAATCCTTTCACCACGTCGCCTTCTTACCCTGGCACGATCATCGTGCATGCCTAAACAAAATCGAGACTCGTCACTAAAGAAAATACTGTTCCATTCCTGATCCCAGAGTGACCGTTGTCTGCACCACTCAAGGCGATTACGTCGGTGTTCTCGAGTTAAAGGGAGGACCCAGTGTGGCCGGTATGAAAACAAGCCAAACTTCTCATTCGTCGGTAAACACTTCGCATGCCAATAGGTCTTTGCGTACGGCCTTCTCGATGCCATGTCTGACAACACCTAACCACAGTGCCTACACTTCTTTGCACTCTAACTGCAATTGCCCGAAAAGAAAGTCCAGCTTCCCGAAGTCCCACTATACGGCCCCTATCAAACTCACTAAGTTGACGAAATCGTACAGGTCCTCCGTACTCTAGGCATCGTAACCGATCGTAAAGGATGTCAAGAACCAAAATCCGCCACGTTGATTCTTTACTGCGGCTGAAATATTCATTTTTAGAGCGTTAGGGAATTAAAAAAAAAGCAGTATAAAACCGGAATGTCCAACTGATAAGGCTGAAAATTTTTTCACTTGTTATTTACAGTAAGATAAATATATTCACCAACTTTATTAAAATAAAACCATTTAAACGGGTGTTCGGATTTACATTACACTTAGTATATTTGACAAAGTGAAAAAATAACTATTTTTGTTAAATAAGGTGATCAATGATATATAGGGTGCGTCATCTATTACATTTTTTTCTATTTGAAAAATCAACACGCTTTTTGACGAGGTGAAATCGAATTTTTTATCGGATAAATGAAGGTTGGTTTATGCCATTTTCCCAGAATATCGGGTCTATGGCCACAATTTTCAGTCCGAATATTACGCTTTAGGTCTTGAATTGTCCGGGGACCATTCGCATACACTTTTC